GGTCTCAAAGAGATAAACGTTCTGTCTTCAGAAAAGGGACTAGACAGGCTCTTGCGGAGAGTGCTCGACGAGCTCTGCACCGCAGGTGGCTGGATGTCATTCTGCTGGACGCCACTCTGAGGGCATGTGATGCTCCTGACAAGTGGAGAAACGGTGTGTCTACATTCACTTGGACATGGTAAAATCTCCACACTGGAAACCACTTTCCTAAATCCTCCCTCACCCCCCACCTGCAATCTCTCCTAAAAGTCTGCAATAATAATCCATGAGCACAGACCAGACCCCGAAAGTTAATCAACTCTTTCTTACTTGCATGGCATTGCATTGGGTCCCCGGGACAAACACAAGAGACGATATGGCTTAGAACCTTCACGTGGAAAGACTAGGAGCATCCACCCTGAGGGTGTGCCAGAAGCAACATCTCCAGATGTGCGAGAACTGGGTCCTGAGACTAAAATGAGCGACTGCATTGGCAAGGCCTTCAGCTCAACCCCTAGCCATGTAAGTGATTAGACATGAAATTTATTATACAACTTCTCGCACCTACACCTGTTTCCACATAAACTCTGAATTTTGGCATCTTCCAAACAGTATTAGCAAGTACTATGAAAAAAACAGATATTTTTTAAAACCTCATGTGTTTCTATTTATATAAAATCCCACCAATATTTAAAACATGGTTGACAAAGTTTTAGACACACAAACTTAATGTTACAATATAAGCAATCTACTTATTTCTGAATTAGCTTTATGTGTGAAAACAACAAATAAACATTACTTAAGAACACAGGAGGAAGGAATTTACTCAACTTGAAAAGTTTTATTACAACAGCCTGTAGAGTCCTGTTATATGTTATTCTTAAATGTTAGACCTTCCAAAGTATCTGTACCATGTACTGTGAATGTTCAAGCTTTCTTGTGGACGATTGTGATTATCGACCCACAAAATGCCTGCCTTTGAATAAACTAGTTTACACCTATTGTTGATATGTATATCTTTTGGCTGCAGTTAAGTATTTTTTTTCACTTGCATATTGACAATCACAACTTAAAACAAATCCCAAAATCAAATATTTTGTGGTTTTCTTGCTTTCTAATATTTAAAAGGTTCAAAAACTGTGCATTCTTGTTTCTTTTACTATAAGAATTCTATAAGAGCTATTTTATAATAGAAAAATATTAAAAATTTTAAATTAATATTCAATCAGCAGTATAAGAAATTTTCAAGTTCTTATAATTTGACAAGTAAAAAAGGAAACTAAGAACTATAAATAAAATCATTCTTAAATATTCTGTTGTAAAATACATTATATGAATAAGAGCTTTTTCTTGCTCCTTTCTGAAGGCCATATACACTGGATTTAAATATAAATTATATCCTACTGATATTAAAAGTTAATGTTTATGCTATTAGAAAGACAATTCTTAACTCATATACTTGGATTTCAATAGAAAGAGAACAAACAATATTTTAAATAAATTCATATTTATTTCTTAAAAGTCAAGCAAATCATACTGATTTAATATATGCAGCTGAACTATAAAAATAGCTGTAAGCAGAAAATTAGAGTACTTTAAATTATATGAACACAAGAGATGCAAGCTGCCAAGAGTCTGCCATGAAAAACTACTTCTATATGCTACTTGAGACATAGATTCATTTTTACTCTTTTTCGGAGCACTTTAAGCTATATCCTTTACGCAATAATTAAAAGCTGGTCACATCAAAGAAAACCTATCAGACTTCTAGGCTGTTCTTCTGTCTCCATTACTAATACTAATCTATTATGGGAGAACCTATCATTAGATGATAGAGAGAGGGAAAAAATTTCTATCACAAAGTTCTTGGTTGGATAAATAAGCAATTCTCCCAAAAAGGAGGGAGAGAAGGTGGGAGAACCCCTCTATCAAGCTTGTGAGAATGTTTTAGGATTGAGTTCATGTTTTTGTTTTCAGGAATTTTTAATTTTAAGAGGTAAGAGGTAAATATTTTTTTTTTGTTTGAGAAGCCTTTTTCTGGGTTTGTATTAGAAACACCAAGATATTCCTCTTTTTTTTTTTTTTTTAGACAGGGTCTTACTTTGTAACCCTGGCCAGAGTACAATGGCACAATCGTAGCTCACAGTAACCTCAAACTCCTGGATCACTCCACATGATCCTCCTGCCTCGGCCTCCCATGTAGCTTGGACTACAGGTATGCACTACCGTTCCCCCCTAATTTTTAAATTTTTTGTAGAGACATGGTCTTGCTTTGTTGCACAAGCCAGTCTCCAACACTTGGACTCAAACAATCCTCCCATCTCAGCCTCTCAAAGGGCTTAGGTTACAGGTGTGAGTCACTGTACCCAGCCTAGACACACCAAGATTCTTAAGGGGAGGAAATGACCACACATCAAAGATGACTATGACCTCCACTTAGAGTTCCGCAGAAGGATGTTAGTTTTAAAGCCTAAAGAGGTTGTTATTATCATGGCTCTTGATTATACTTCCCTTAGAGCCAGGAACTAGAGCTCTAGCACAAACACAAATGCAAAGATGAGATTGGGATTTGCCATTCTTTTTTCTATGGTGATATTAACTAACCCCTATAGTTCCGGAACCATTGTTCATGAATGTTTCATTCATATATAATTATAATATATATATATATAATTATATATAATATAAGATATACATTCTATATATATATCAATCTTATACATTCTTTACATATATATATAATAATCATATAATATAAAGATATTACATATCTTCCTATGTTTAAGTGCACTTGTAAAAATGTAGTAGAAAATTTTTATCACTGTTTTTTCATAAACTTATAAACACAATACACAGAATGATTCTTCTTTTAGAAATTTACATTAATCATAAACTTTTCTTAAAATCTATCCTATGAATTATATTCAAGTCATAAAAATAAAAGATTTATATATACTTACTTCCTTCATACATTACTCTATAATTTAGCAAAGTCATGATAACATGAATTCTATTCCAAGAATCTAAGTACCAAAACTGAAATCCAGACAGCAGTGAGTCAGATGGCTTTAAAGATTTATTATATAAGAATCATTATCAAACATAGGTTAAAGTCTTTTAAATGCATTAAAAATGGCATTTATCAATCAATGATTTGTGTATAACTCTTAATTTATGTGACAACATTCAAGAAATTTCAAATGGAGTTTCAATTCTTTGAGAATAAAGATATTACTTTCTACTTAGTTTCACAGAAATAATTGTCTCTCTGAACAAGACATGTTTATATATACTATTGATTTAATTAGAGTAATCCTGACAGATTTCTCTAAAATAATACATTCTTTCAGTGAATCAAATCTAGTTTAAAAAAAAAGTGGGAGAGGAAAAAGAAAGGCCAGAGAAAGAGACGAGAGAAACAGTAAAACATTCGAATGTATCAGGACAGAAAGCAAAAATTAAAATTAGTAAAATGAGAATTCAGTAGAGAATCCTGGAAAAAATTCTAGACCAAATATTGAGATTAACATAAAAAAATATGCAAATCAAAGACAAAATGACCATTACATTAATGTTCATAACAACATATACACACAACATGCACACACACAACATGCACATACACACCCACACCCTCACCATTCACACGCTACATAAGAAACCAGTTTGGAGAGCTATGAAAAAACAATCTATTTCTTTTGTATAGTTCTTAAGGACAACATATACATTTGTCAAAATAATAAAAATTCATTACATTCAAATTATAAATTTCTAGTTGCCTATGACTCAAATTGATATAAGATTCAGATTCAAGTATAATCAAATGTATTTCATTTTTAATATATATTTTATTTACATTACCAAATTAGAAAATGTGTAAGCCCCACATTTAAAAATCCCTCACAGAGCAAGTCAGGTAGATGCCTCAAAGTTCCTTTCAGCTGCATGAGTTGGCTGGTGAAAAGTAATCACACTTAAAAACAATGTAATGTTCTCGTTAAACTTTAAGCTTTCTGATGTCATAAGACGTGTGGCATTCTATGACAAGTGTTTTTTCCTTGTGCCCAGACTTAATATAGCAAGAACAAACAGGCTTTTGAATCAGTGTTCCCCTTGCAGTATTTGCTTGCTGGCGAGATTTACACGCGACTGTAGTTTGGCTCTCTTTACGATGCGATTCCTGGGCTATAAGCTTCTACAAACTGACAGAAATAACAGGAGCTGTGAAAAATGCAACAATACTAAAAACAGATGTTGGTAGAAAATTCCAGGGCCATTTATTTGCTCATTTCACTACTTAATGCACAATTTCTATGCTGAAAACAAAGGGCTGGTTTTTTTCCTCTTAAAATACCTGGAACCATGAAACATTTAGGGGAGGTAAAGTAGGAAATTTATAGGATGGAGACTTGAGGAGACAGGCAGTGGGAAGTAAAGTTGATAGGAGGTTAGGCTGAAAAGAAAAAAATGCACCTAAATCCACACTATGTTTTTCAGTAGTCATATATCATTCTTTTCCTTACTCTCATTTTCTTTTACTTTAGTCTGGTGAAAAGTCCAAATAGATGAGTTAAAGGCCAGTGGTATGATGAGTTGGGGATAAGAAGGGAATTAAGAATAAGAATAATCTGTCTAAGGCACAATTGCTTTTGTGGCCAAGAAAATGGTATGGTAGATTTTTGTCTTCGTAAGCTTTACCAAGAAATAAATTACCCAAACCTCCTGGTGTTGAAGAAATAAGAGTTGTATTTTAGGTTACATTTAATAAAATACCTAAATTCAGAAATCAAAGAGAGTAGTAGTAGTAATTTCCTAAAAGAGTGAGTGGGTTTATTATAAACAACCCCAATCATCCCTTTCTGTAAAAGGTTCACATTAATATTCCCTCTACGAATTGGGAAATGATGATGCAAAGTTACTGCAAGGTAACAGGACCCCTTGTCCTGCCAGGAGTACCTGCTTTCACAGTCAAAAATAAACAGCAGGATTTGGTTACTCTGCATTCCCATTAACAAACTTACATGATTTCCTGTTGGAAAATTTCAGGGGCTGAACCAGTATCTCTGGTCGTCTCAGAGCCAGTCTCCTGAAGGAATGAAGGTCAAAATGCCTATCAGTTTTCAGCACCGTCTGAGGTTCACATAACACCAAAGTATTGAACACCTTAAGAAAAAACTTGAAAGTCGGGAAAAATGAACACAGTGCAATCTGCTCAAATTAAGAAATAAATCGTCTTATTTTCAAATTTTTGTAAATTCTCTCGCCTCTCTCCAAAATTACGAGTCTTTTTTTCCACCTTTCACATCAACGGGGTTTCGGATATTAATGTGCTATTTTCCATTTGCTTCATGACAAAAATCCAGTGTGATCTGGTACTGTCATATTATTTTTGGTCATCATTCATACTTAGTTAGACAAAACAGAAATCCAAACCCAGGGGATAAAGAATTCTAAGGCAAGGTTTTATAGCTCATTTTATCATAGCTATGCTGGAATGATATTTTGCAGAGAACAAAAGGTCAGCTGAAGAAAGGCCATTATTATGCACCACTAGCTCACCTTTCCTGGAAATGCTTGGAGGGAATCAAGCCGGCTCTGGGACTCGCATCCCCTTCGTGCTTCGCCTGCCACCACGTTGCATCATCTTGGCTCATGATCTGAAGAATATCTCCCTTTCTAAAAGAAAGCCCAGCTTCCTTACATGGAATTGCCTTATCTTCATTAGGATCATAGTCAAAGAGAGCTTTGATAAACATCTGGAAGAAAAGTTTCATTTCAGATGAATAAAGACAGAAAATAAATGTGAAATGGCCTACATTCTTCCAACTCCGATTCAAGAAACGATAATTTAAAAACCAGAATATGACAAATGTGTTGTGACAGAGCACATATGTAATAGATGGAAAAGCATTACTTCGACCGGACGTAAACAAAAACATTTTTAAGTAATGCTCACCTTGCCTTCTGTGGGCACGGTCTCTTCTTTGATGCTGGGGATAATCTTAAATGTAATTGCCCCCTGAGACTGAGCCTGGTAGCAGAAGAAAGAAAGAGTTATAAGAAAACTAGAGCCAAAGAAAACTAAGGTGAAACAGGTAGATAGCTAAACACATCTAAACATTTACAAGCTTGGGGTTTCTACCGTTAGAATAAACTGAGGAAACTATTTTTGTAGAAATTCTTGTAATGCAAGAAAGCTTTAAAGTTTGTCAAGTAAGTTAAAAAATGTTAACCCATAAATCCACTTTTACTTCCTTTGTACTTTTAAGATGTCAATAAATATATTTCCATCCATGTTAAGTTGTATCCGTGTTTTTTGAGACAAAACACCTACAGTGTCAGTAGTGCAGTTTTATAACTTTAATATGTGATTCAGTTAGTGGCAATGCCCCTCGGAAAAAATAATGAAGAGTATTCATCTCTGTTTAGTGAATAAAATGTAATAGATTAATTAAAAAATGAACAGACTGTCTATTCTAATTTAATTAAAACACGTACCACCACCCACAAATCTGCTGACTATCTCAGACATGAGGTGGTCTCTCTTTAAGTATACTCTTGTGTCAGTCTCTATTTGTCTCTCTCTCTCGTTAGTGTTTATCACAGCCATATTTAATTATTTATGCCATTATTTCTTAATATCTGTTACTCCTGCTAAATTATAAACTCCATAAAAGCACTAAATACCTGGAACATTTGGTTTTTTTAGTTTATTTTATTTTAGCGACAGGATCTCATACTGTCACCTAGGCTGGAGTACAGTGGCCTCATCGTAGATCACTGCAGTCTCAAATTCTGGGCTCAAGTGATCCTCCTGTCTGAGTGTCCCAAGTACCTGGGACTACAGGTGCGTGCCACCACACCTGGCTAATTTTTTAAATATTTTTGTAGAGATGGGGTCTCTCTATATTGCCTAGGCCCGTCTCCAATTTCTGGCCTCAAGTGATCCTCCTGCCTCCACCTCTCAAAGTGCTGGGATTACAGGTGTGAGCCACTCTACCCAGACTAACTGACACATAAAAGAGATGAGGGAGGGAAGGAGAGAGAGAGAGGAGATCTCTCTTGAGCTCACTGTCAGTGGTGTGCTGGCAAACCAGGATTCCATTATTAAAAAAAAAAAGACCCTGATCTGTACTGTTTGCCAGTTTCCACAGTATAATACTCCCAACACAGCCAGTTTCAATTTAGCGGCATGAAGTCACTGAAAGTGAGCTGGGATGTAGTGTGTGGAGGCAGCTCTGGCACAACACAGTGACTTAGGTAAAGTAAGGTTTTGAGAGTGTAAATAACAGATTTTTTGTTGTTGTTTTCTCCCCCCCCACCCCTCCTAAATAACAGAATTTTATAAAGGGTTGATTTATTTCTAAATATCGTCATTGCTAATCATAAAAGTAATTCACAAATCTTAATAAGAATTCATACACTGTAATGCTAAATTGCATAAGTTGAGAGAAAGCAAAAGTCTTGTCTATAATCCCCTCTCATTTTTCTAGTTTTTGTGTGTGTGTTTTTTGAATGGATGAAAAGCCCTTAGAACACTGTCACTTATATGGGCTCAATCAATGTCAGCAATTATTATTATTACTACTACTATTAGTAGAAAGCCATGCAGGTCTATCACTCATTGTGATTGCTTCACAGTAATCCATCATATGGATGAATGATTATTTGATCAATGCAACCTTCTTGTGTGATCGATGCAATTTCTGAATATTTTAAAAATATTTTGTTTATATACATTTATCAAATTATTTCCTTAGGATTAATTTCCAACATTTGAATTTCATGATCAACAGGTATATACATTTCAAATTTTGATAGTTTTAGATGGACATCTCCAAAAGTTCTATTAATTTATCCCATTGTGAAATCATGTAAACATATCTATGTCCCTGTACTCTGGCCTACTTTGGGCATCAAAAAACTTTTAAATTCCAAGCAATCCACTGTGTGTTAGACTTGTTTTCTTTTGTAAAGTGTTTGTATATATGCATCGCTGATTTTTCTGTAAATGTTTTTCTTATTGATTTTTATGATCTCTACATTAAAATATTAGCCTTTTAACATATATATTGAAAGTATTTTCCCTATAATTCCACTTGTCCTTTAAGTTTATTTATGAAACCTTTTTTCTGTATGGTAAGTTTTGAATTCTAGTATACACATCTGTTATTTTTCTATTTGAATTTCACCTTAAGATTAAAAAGTGTTTCCCTACCTTATAATTATAAAAATTGTATGTTGCATTTTATCATGCAATTTTTGTGATTTTTTGCACTTACATATTTAATTTGTTGGGAATTTATTTTTGTGTGTGGTGTAAACCAGGAACTGACCTTATTTTTTCTAAGTGAATCATCAATTAACCCAACACTATTTATGAAATGCTTCCATCATTTTCCCAGATTTAAAATGCCATCTTAATCATATACTAAATTTTCATATAAAGAGAGATCTGTTTTGAGATACTCAAATCTCTTTTAATAGCTGCAGGTTTAAAGTAAGTGATGGGGCTGGGATTTGAAACCTGGACTGCTAAATCCAAATCCTGTGTATTTCAAATCAAGTGTGAAAAGTCAGAAATATAATGATTCGATTTTATTTTTATTGCAATTTTAAAATAAACTCACAGCTTACCAAAATCTGTATTATTTCCTCAGGCCTTTTATCCTCAACTGGTATCCCATTCACTTCTCTAAGTTCATCACCAACATGAATAAGACCTGAGAAATGTTAAGATTTGGTAAGTTAGCAGTGTTACCCACAAAAGAAAATGTAGTTTGCAATTGTTTCCAGGATGAAAGCATTGTTGGGTTCCCTTAACACATTTAAGGACTGGAAAGGAGACTTGCACACTTCTCGGGTTTCAGACTTTGTGTCTCTATAGCAATGAATCAGAGACCACAACTTAACACTGGCAAAGAAATGACAGCAGCACCTTGGTCTTTGTCTAGAAATGTATGTTACTAATATCTTACAAGTTTTATTTATCTTAAAGGTTGCATCCTCTCAGTAGTACTTTTCAAATCAGAAACACTGAAATAAGTCTTTTTTTTTTTTTTTTTTTAAATAGAGGTAGGGTATGGCTTTGTTGCCCAGGCTAGTCTCAAACTCCCAGCTCAAATGATCCTCCCACCTCAGCCTCCCAAAGGGCTGGCATTACCAGTGTAAGATGATGCACCCAGCCAGGAACAAGTCTTATATAACTTTGGATGCCTGAGTATGCTAAGACCACAGAATAAGATTTATCTATCATTTGTTTAAATAGGTTCTTACATTTCAACACACAAAGAAGTATCTTATTACTTGTTTCGCTGTATTATATCAAAATGTTTTTATCCTCTTAATTACATACAGGAAATGCTGCTCACAAAGCACAGTGTGACTCGTGTGTATGCAGTTCACAGTCACACTCTCACCGCTTCTGTCTGCAGCCCCTCCTCTCATGATTCTGGCCACAACAATCGCCCCAGTCTGCTCGTCCTTCTTGATGGTGGCACCCTTTTAAGGAAAAACAAAAAGTATCTGTGGGTAAATGTGGGTTCTGAGTGTTAAGAAGGGGTGGGGAGGAAATAAGGACATTCATCTGGAAAAAGAAAACAATTATTACAAAAAATATTTTTAAAATGAGGCAGGAGGGGTAGACATCATGCCATTTGTCTTACAAAGACTCATTATGAAGTACAGAAAATTCTATCTGTGCATCATTTAAGGCAGTGGTCCCCAACCTTTTGGCAATAGGGACCAGTTTCATGGAAGACAATTTTTCTGGGGGTGGGGGGCAGTGGGGAGGAATGTGCTCAGGCAGTGATGCTAGGGATGGGGAGCAGCTGTAAATACACATGACACTTCACTCGCTCACCTGCTGCTGTGCAACCCAGTTCCTAAGTTTCATGGAAGACGATTTTTCTATGGACCAGGGGTGGGAGGTTGTGTAACTGAGGTGGTGATGCACAGCCCAGTTCCTAACAGGCCATGGCTGGGGGCTGGGAGCTGGGGACCGCGGATATAAGGGTTTCAGCACAATTTACAGATTTCTGAAATCTTTAACGTCTTCAAAAGCGTGGAAAATAAAAACATTCTCTTTCCATTATAAGAACACCTTACATTTGAATGCTGTTTTTTTACCCTTTTGAAGCACTTCCTCATTTTATCCTTATAATATTCCATCAAGAAGGTGGAAAAGTGATAGTTATGTGACTAGACAAAAGATTACATAATAAGATAGAAAACAAAAAACATGGGTTATTTGACTTTTAGTTCCACAATCCTCCTATTAAACTAAGCTATCAGAGGAAAAAATTTGGCAATAATTACAAAAAGAAAGAAAAAGAAATAAAGCACAGAAATTAAATTATATTTGTTTCCTAAGACTAAGGTAAATGAACAGAAGAAAGATCTGTTACTCCACAGTTTAATGAACTAGGAGTGTACCTAGTACAAACAGAACTAATATTTTGGCATAAGATTAGAAAATAATCTCAAAAAGAATCCCAAAATTCTTTACTTACAGATAATCAGAAGCAAATTAACTGCTGCTTTGTAAGAACAACAGGCATAAGTGGTTATTTTGAAAGTGTTTTCATGACTTTCCTTCCAAGAAATTGGCACTGGTTTAGCAACGCCATCCAACATTGCATAATACTGCTAAAAAAGTATACCTTACATGGTGGCTGAATTCATTCCAAAGAAGAAGTGGATTTTTCTTAAGTTTGTCACATTAATTTCCTTAAAGAGTAGAAATGTAAACAAAGTAGGAATCCATTTGTAATAAGCATAATTTATATATGACAACTATCAGATATATACCTAGTAGTAGTAGTACAAATCAAGTAATTAAGTGATAGGATGATTTTGTGACATTTTTCATTACCTATGGATGCACTCGAGGCCAAAGACTTGAATGAGCATCTCTCCATGGTCATAAAACTTAGACTCATCAATTATTGCTGGTTTCTTCTTTTATTTCAACAACTAACTTTTGTCCAAAATGTCTAGAAATGTAACATTCTTAATACAACTAGTTTGATTAGACTGACTTTCATACTCTTTAAAAATGTGTCTTAAATTTTCCCACCAAAGTATGCCTAATGGCAGAAAAGTCTAGTAATATAAGTCTATCTATCCATATTTTATAGATGAGAAAATGAATCTCAAATGGTTATAACTTGTTACGAGATCAGACAACTAGTATGTGGTAAAGTCAGGACTTGTCTAAACAATTTGACCAGAGATACTATTCTTAATCATCATTCAATACTGCTCACACTATATCCTTCCATAACCTTTTGTTTATAAGTTCATTTTTTCCATGAGTTCCTTACCCTGTGGGAGTTCATCTCTAACAGGGAGATCACCAATTCCTTCCCTCCTTGTATGTGCATACTATAGTCCCACATCAAGTGGTAAAAGGCTTCTAAGGCTACAAGAAGACTTGCAGCTGGCACTGGGATGCCTTGAAACACTCTTGCTCTATGGGAATCCTGTTGCCATGCAAGAAATCATGACTACTACACCATGCTGTGAGGAAGCCCAAGCTAGCCAAGTAGAGATGCCACTTGGAGAAATATGCTTGACCAGTCCCCAACTTTCCAGCTCCCAGCCCAGGAGTCAGTCACATGAATGGAGCCCTTAGCTAACTCCAACCTCAGCCGACATCTGACTGAATATATGATGGACTCCAAGTGAGACCCTCCTAGCTGAGCTCACCAACTCCCAGAACTGTGAGAGATAATAATATCGTTTTAGCCACAATACAGGGGAGGTGGTTTGTAACACAGAACTAGATAATGAGAACAAATCTCTCTCTTACTGTGAACTATATTGTATTTCAGTATAGGACCATCCTGTTTGTTGTGCTTAATGCTAGTCCCTTTGACTTATTTTGTGATTCAATGAAGCTGACAAATGTTTATTGAGAATTTAGTATGTGTCAGGCACTGATCTAAGGGCTTATAATAAATTGGTGAAAAAACAAAAAATTTTTGCCCCTAATCGAGCTTACGTTCAAGAAGCAGAGTAATTCGATATATTACATGCATGTTAAAAGGTGATAAACGCTGTGGGGGTGGGAGGGAGTAGGGTGGGGAGAGAAAGACCAGGATGCCAGAGCAGGTGGAGGAGAGACAGTGAGAAGACACAGGTCTCACTGGGAGGATGACATCTGAGTACAGAAAGACTGGGAGGAGGTGAAGGAGTCAGCCACAGGGAAGAGGAGCAGACACAGCCAGTGCCGAGGTGCTAAGGGGGCTGTGAACGAAACATTCAAGGAAGCCCAGAGTGCCCAGTGTGGCTGGAGTGCAGCAGAAGAGGAGAAGCAGGAGATGAGGTCGGATGGCAGCAGGGAGCCTGCTTATGTGGCGCACTGGGCTTTACTCTGAATGAAAACAGGAGAAGATGCAGGGTGTCAACAATCTAGAAGGATCTCTCTACCTACTGCGTTAAAAGTGAAGGATGGCGAGGGCTAAAGCAATGAAATAAACAGGAGGCAATTACAGACTGAGCCTCCCTTATCTGAAATGTTTGGACCAGAAGTGTTTCAGGATTTAGATTTTTTTGGATTTTGGAATATCTTCATTCTTTTGTATGCCCCAGTGATCATTTCCTTTGGGTGTCGTGTCGGCACTCAAAAAATTTTAGATTTTGGAACATTTCAGATTTTGAATTTTTGGATTTGGGGTGCTCAACCTGTACAATAACCTGGGGTAAAAGCAGAGGTCATAAAAAGGGGTCTGGATATGTTATTGGTGGAGCCAAAAGGATTTCCCAAAGGGCTGGCTATGGGACACAAAATAAAGAGAGGAACCGAAGCTTGATTTCACAGTTTTGGCTGAGCAACTGGAAGGATGGAATTGCCATCAACTGAAATGGAGAAAGACAAGGGTGGAACAGATGTGAGGACAAAGATTAGCAGTTTATTTTCGGATTTGTGAAAACTGAGACGTCTATTAGACATCCAAATGGAGATAACAAGTAGACAGATGGATACACAAATTTAAGGATCAGAAGAAAGGTCTGGAAGAGAAATACCCCTGGGAGTCCCTGGCACAGATACGCTTTTTAAAGCCATGGGCAGGATGAAATCACTTCTGGAATGTGTGGAGAAAGAAAAGCACTCCAACACACAAGGGTTTTGCTGTAGATACAGATATCTGTTCTGATAGAACATGCTTGCTTGCTAGCTGCTGACTCTGTACTCTCTTTGGAGGATAAACTACAGACCTGAGGAACAATCTCTCACTTTCTATACGATAGTACCACTTGACTCAGTCTTCACTTTGAACCCTTCGTTCCTGAAGATTTCTCTTTTCATCTTGCTTTCCAAACTCTTATTATCACAATTGCTTGTTCTATTCCCAATGTAATGTATTTGCCTGAAAGTAAGATCGAATCTCAACAACATAGAGTGCATTATAGATGATACCGCACCAAAGTCCACAGTCCTGTGAAGCAGTCTGCAAATGCAAAATGAATTGAATTTGAATCTATTATTTTAAAAATTACATATTTTATTACATAATTATTTTGAATTTACTCTGATTTTTGACCAAAAAATATATAGAATTTCAGGTTAGATTGAGAAGTTAGAATTCTTAGATTTTTGTTAATTGTTAATTTTATAAAATAGTTTATAAAAAGGGGACTGCTGTGACGGGATTATCATGTGCTCCTTAAATAAAAATTTTATCTCCTATAAACTGACAATATTGTGAGGTTTAAGAAGGTGTCACATTCAATTTCAGGTTGAGCCTTTGAAATAAGTATTTTTGAAGTGTGATCTACCAAACACTTGCATTGAGAAAATCTGAGATACTTTTAAAAATTGAGATTCCCACATGCCACCAAAACCTACTGATACAGATCCTTTGGGGTAGAGCCCAGAAATCTGCATTTGAAGTCAGCACCTATGTTCAGTCTTCTAATACCAAAATTTGAGAACCACTGTTCTTAAAAAGCAAGAGGACAACCCATGCAAGACACATGGAAACTTTAGGATCAAAATCCTAAATTTCTTGATAAAACAAATATAAATTGCTCCAAATTCACAGGGAAAGAGGATAGCTCTGCTTCCTGAATTCTGACTGCTGTTTTTCCCCTCCTCCTTCCTCCCCTCAAACTATCACCCCTTTTCTTTTCCAAAGCTAAATACCTACGAGATCCGTGTTCACTGCCTGTTCTCCCAGGTACCATTCTCTCCTTGAGCAGACATAACCTAGCTTCTACCTTAACAATTCTACACAACATTTATATAATGCCTGCATAATGCTTCAGAACTTTTAAAGCATTCCAAATACTTTGTATCTCAGCTGACATTCAAAACGCTCCCGTAGAGGTACATCTCCCGATTTTCTGAGTAGGGCTGAGATGATGAGTGCCTGGCTGCTGTAGGATATGGAGCAAAGAAATGACCCAACTGCCACTTAGGTCATCCAATGCAAGCTCGGTGCTCATGTCACCACACTATAGGGTCTAATAAACAAACTGCACTCTTAAATAACACC